TTTGCCTCGACGTCCGATGATGAAATTCGACTAAGGTAATATCCGAACAACTCCTCTGAACTCTCTCCATGGTAATGGTTTTTTAATAAGGACTATAAATAAGGCACATAACAAGATGTAGACTAAGAGAGTAAATATCCCCATCTCCCTCGTGTACGCGCCGCGAATGCAAAGGCACAGTTTTTCCTACGTAATTTATACCAGTTTACTGAGTAGGGTAACCATATTTTACGAATTTTATTAATTAATTTTGATAAAGAAAGCATTAAACAATAGGTACACTGAGATTATGAGTTATAATTTTTGTCTTTGCTTAACAAAGCGTATTGTTGATTTTTAGTCAACAGTACAAGGAGATAGAATAATAATAATAACACTTTATTTACATCACAATAACACAAAACATGAGAAAAATAATTAAAAACATTAGATGTTAATGGGTGGTCTTACTGGTAAAAGCAGTTTCTTTCAGGCAACCCAAACATAAGTAATAATAAAAAAATACAATACTGAACTAAAAACTACTAATAAAATAAATATAAATTGGTACAATGTTGTCAATTGTTTCTTAAATAAGAAAGAATTGGAATTAAGTATTTCTTGGGCCGCGAAGTTCAAGTGCACAGGCGCTAATTAAAGATTTAAGTTGGCGCCTGGTAGATAGTACCGGTGACCCCAGAGCTCAACGAATAATAACAGCGAGGAAATGCCAGTATTATAATTTAAGGTACACTACCACACTTTTATTTTAATAATACTTAGTTTAGCGGTCACATCAATATCACGAAGGATTATGTACAATTTTCAAAACATATAATTATTACAGTATTATTAATATATCAGTAAATCATGACTTATTTGACTTAATGTTCTATAAACCATAGATGGGACAGAAGGCGCCCTCAGTGAATTTCATCGCGTTCGTGCCTGAGCCTCGTATTTCACCTCGCTCCAAGTCTTTCCGGCTCTCCTTGCCTCATGTGCGTACGACGCCAAATACAGGAGATAATCTCTAATTTAGTAAGCGGAAGGACTTTGACTTTAGACTGTAGAACAAGTTCGTTTTTCTTTAAAATTTTTGTTGAAGTTTGTTTTTTTTTATCTATTAATTTAGCATATTTCGTTTAACAATGTAATCTGTTTTGGCTTTGTATATTGTCTAAGTGTTTTCTTATTAAATGTATATTTGTAGCTTTCTAGTCTATAAATAAATATAGGTCTTGTTGCCATAAAGGTCTAGTAAAAATGATTTTTGTGAGACTCGGACTCCCCACTTAAATTAAAATTTGGTTGAGTGGTTACTACGAAACAAAAAAAAGCTCCAATATTAACAAGAGTTATGGTTACCCTATCAATTTGGCGGCACGTGCTAACCTTTAATTCACTGTAACCGATCGGCAGCCAACACTTTTACATCTCGTATCTGCGATTATTTTACCTATTTTTGTAAGAAAATAGCGGCAGACATTTCTGCGTCTTACTAGACGTACCTAGTTATACGCACGCCTATTTACTACGAGACTTATTAAAAAATGCTTAGAGTCGAATCAAGCACTTCTGGATGTGCGTTAAGTGTTGCGTGAAGACAAAGTAATTTTTTTACGTCTTGCTTCGTCAGATTGCTTCAATGCGGCAACTATTTACATTTATATCACATATAAAATAAATACACATAGAAAAAACAGCACAACATTACTAACGGATAAAAATATTTACAAAAATAAATCTTTCTTACAGTATAGGAGTTGACATGAGGCCGACTCTTTGTCAGTTCCCTTAACGGACAATTAAAACGTTTGTTAATCTATACAGTTCATTAATTATTTCAATACACTGTGTCATATTTTGTGCCCTTTTCGAGAGGTTAGCTTTCGCTGACGATACGAAAAGTAACGGCATCTTAAAATAAGTACATCCAGGGCGATTTATAAAACTTAATTTACCAATTAAATGAGTATACCAACAACTAGAATGTTAATACGGATAACAATTCGAAAATTCTTTTCGAGTTAATTCGTTATTTAAATTTTTTTTTAAATGTTGTCACTACTCGAAAATAGATGTCGCATTAGAACGAAATAGGTTTGACAGTTTTAGTGCTTGCTCTTTTATTGTCTTGTGTCCGTGGTTAATTTGGTTATACATGTATAATGTTCTGTGTCCTCGATTAAAGGACCATTAACACAAAAATAATTTTTAGATTTCTTTGATTTATTATTAATATATAAAAAAACAAGTGTCCAAGTGTTTTGCCTGGGCCTCAAAATTCTGTATCTGTTTCGTGATCATATATATTTTGTGCCTATTAGATGTCTATTAGAAATCATCTACTGAGATGCTAAGCCTACACAGCCTACTTTGGTTTCCTCACCGTGTTTCCGTTTACCATACGACCAAGCGTTAAATGGGCAATAAACGGAAAGTCCAATCGTGCACAGGCGAAGATCGAACCTACGACCGTGGTCATCAATCAGGGATGAAAGTTGCACCCTGAAGCCACTAGGCAAACACTGCACGCTATTAAGGTTTTCTTTACACTTAGAAACAATTTGCTTAGTAGCAATAATGACTCTCTTCTTGGATACCATTGCCTTAATGGAGCATGGTGTAATTGATCTACCTCCTTACAAATATTTAAGTCAATTAAAAGGAGTGGCGGAGAGTTTTTAGCCAGGTCTTCTCGTCTGTTCTACGCCCTAACGGTATATAATTCTTATTCGTGACCCGTCGTTTGATTTATTCACAAAAAGAGCAATTTGCGTAGAGATACGGGGTCTCTCTGCATCTTCTACCCCATTTACCATGGAGAGTGTTCCGAGGAGTTGTTCGGAATTATACCTCTAGCTGAGGTTTATCATCGGACGTCGAGGCAGAATACCACTCGTATCACCTCGACGTCCGTCATCAGTAAAGTATTTCCGAACCAATTCGAATTAGAATTAATTCGAATTCCTTCAAGCCTACTAATTCTTAAAAGGCTGGCACTTGCGAGGCTTCTGGTGGTGAGTGTTTATGGGCGGCGGGTATCAATTAACATAAGTTGAGACCCGTACGGGGCAAACATACAAAAAAAGCTACAGACTTTAATGTTTGTAATATTATATATCAAGATTATTACTGTTAAACTACGTCATAGTATTATCAACTATAATTGGGCCCTTAATTCTGAAAATGTAAATTTAGCTTTTTTTATAGAATAAATTTTCTATTTTATTTTAATTTTGGTTTACTTGCCAGTTGCCACCAAAACGATTATTATTTATCACTCAAAGGGTTTATAATGTGATTCCATAGGGAATCAGAATAAAACGATAAAGACAATTTAATAGTTTATTTCTATAATACACAGCTTATCGTAAAATCTTGTACAGTTAATACTACGAAATAATACTGATCAAAGATGTCCAAAAACACAAACATACAAGCATCGAAAATAATTATGGCACAAATATATTTTTAATAATTGTTATAAAACTAGTTGAACAGCATTATCACCTATTCCAAATATTGAACACTTTTTTATCCGCATGAAGTCGAGATGCGCTAATTATGGAGTCATACTTAGGGCTAAAGATCGTCTCTGAGGGTGAGATTCAGAAACGAACTTAGCAAGAACTCCTGTATGTCAAAATCCGATATATTTTTGACGTTTGGGATTTTGAATCTCACCCTATTGAGATATCCTAAAATCTCTTATTCAAACATTGTTTGTTAGATTACGTTTTGAATGGTATGGGAAGTTTTAAAATAAGTTACATTCAGTCAAGACTTACAACAAACAGAATCTAACATTGCTAAGGGTGAGATTCAGAAACTAGACTTCGACGATCTGTGACGTCCTATGACATATATGTCAAAATCCGATAGATTTTTGATATCGGGAATTTGACGTAACGATCTTGTTTATGAATCTTACCTCTAAGTTCGAACTGCATTTTTCATATACAACACTTGCAAAATACGTCACACGAAGCATTTAAATTCGATAATATATTTAGATTCTGTGGTAAGTATTGCCGAACCGTTAGGGGAACTTCAAGAGAACACCTTAAAAGTCGGCAACGCAGTGCGTCATGCCCTTTACCTCGTGTCCCATAAAAAAGTACATACATACATATACAGTATCGTTTATTTATTTAAATATTCATTTATAAATCTAATTTTATATAGCTCACTCATTGTTCAACTAGTGACATTTTCACTTTTAATTAAGCGTAAAAAATAAAACTATGTTTTCCACAGAACATAAAAAATTACATGCGCTTTTAATCAATCGATGATATTTCTGGAATAAATTTGAAATTAAATAAAGCCTCGTAAGCGACGGCAAGTACAAAATTCATCAAAAAATCCAAACTTATTAAACTCTTTATCCATAATACAAAATAAAAATAATCTTTATTACTAAACATTTATCACTAAACTAATAATTTAACTATTTTTTGGCCTGTATCAGTTCATATTTATACTTAAACATATATAGGTTAGGTACACTATAAATTAATAACTATATTATTTATTATCTACACGACATAATCTATTATTTTATATATATATACAATAATACTGTACATAGTATTTTCGACAACTTAAATATATTGTTTTTAAATGTTAAAAAAATATTAAAACAAAGTTCGATGTATATATTTTTACATTGTATTGACCAAAGAGATTTTTACAGCGCGTAAAAGTCTGACAATAATTTAAATGAACTTTTCACGGATATATATTTTTTTTACATAAATTGTTTGGAGTGTTACGGCAGTTGTAATCGGCTTAAGGTGATCTGAATAAAATCTCTGTAAATTATTTAATAGTCTCGTTTTTGTGTCCGAAAAAAGCCTATTAACAGGCTATGAATTTAGGAAATGTATTAACCGCCTTTAAATAGACAGTTACTTAATTTTAATATGAAAATTATATTTGAAATTCACTGCTTTAAAAAGTTACACTTTCGGCCATATAACGTTTTCTATTAACAAATAAAAATTAATTTAATTTCATACTACATACGGCCTAAACATGTCCATCCCGGGTCGGCCATCTTGGCTTGGCATAACTAGCCCGCGTCTATTGTTTTCCAAATTCGAATTAAAGTTTGCTGCTGCCATCGCTCGTTCTCTTTCTAACGCGATCATCCTGTCCCTATCTAACAGGGGAGGAGGTTTGACAGCTGGTGTCAAATCGCCCGCCATTTGCGGAGGCTGTTTGTCATGGTCGGGTAGAACCTCCTTTTTGTTTTTCTCGTCGTTCGTATGCGAGTCCTTGCTTTTGCTGTCATGTTGCGCTTTTTTCGAACGCTTCCACTTCATTCTGCGGTTTTGAAACCATATTTTTACCTGGGAACAAAGAATCAATTAACTAAATTTTTACATGGAAAATGATAATCTTGACTAGCTATTAAATAATTAATTTGGTTATTGTTTGTTAATATGTTATGTTAAAGTACATAGTGTTGTGAAAAACCTTAGCTAAGATTTAATCCAATCATATTTTATTGGTGAAACCTGCTATCATATATCAAAAGCGCCGAGATTAATCTTTAAACCGACATAAAACACGGGGAACAATAACCTTTATGGCAATCTCCCTCCCCTATAATCTTGTAAGCATTTGTTCCAAATCCGAGCATCGTTCAACTTGACAGGTTGCCGCCATTTCGTAAATGTCAAAATGACGTTGTTTTAGTGAGAAATCTCTTTTATCTACGGGTAAAAGGGTGGACCCTTCTAAAGTATCTGAAGGATTTTTATGGATAAACCAAATATTTTATCCAGCCTCCGGGATTTTTGAGCAATTTGGACCAATGGATAACTGAATATTATACATATTAACAATTATTTTTGTCATGCAGTTGAGATCCGTGGCCTACACCTTCGGGAAAAATGCCTTTTGATTTTACATAGGTAGTTTCTTATTTATTCCTAAACTTTTAGACTTAAAAAAAGTTGAAGTAACAGAATAAAGATTGGATGTATTTTTTTGTGAATCCATTCAATTATGATTGTTAAATTCAATTATTATTATTAAACTTAAATTTACTTATACTTATTGCGTTTTTATTATAAATATTTATAAAATTGGTTTTATAGTATTAAAACTTAACCAAGTACAGGAAAAAGATTTGGCGCTATAAGTGTTTTTTTTTTGCCGTACGGCAAAAAAAAAAAAGACTTTAAAAATTGATACAGCGTTTATAGCTTGAAAATAATATTATAATTTGGCATAGTATATGTATATTTATTAGAATTAATGTGTTTATTCAAAAACCTAAACAAAACAATCAAATATACAGTATTTACAATACAAAGTAATAATTAAAAATTTGTAAATATAAAATTTAAACAAATTTTAACCTCGCGTATTGCGATACTTATTCGTTGAGCGAAGAAAGCACCAGCTCTGGGGTCACCGGTACTATCTACCAGGCGTCAACTTAAACCTTTAATAATTAGCCAATTGAACCCCATGGCCCAAGTGTCTCCACTCCAAAGGGTACAAAATCAAAGTTGGAGAAAAGACTTATATTTGATCAGTTTATTATTTTCCGCATGCTCTGCGGCCGGCTTTTAGAATTAATTAGTTTTACACCATTACCTAGGTGCTAGGTGCGTTTCTATCTATGTATATTATATTTTTTATTTAGCTTTTACTCTATGTAAAGATTGTATATTACCTGAGTTTCCGTAAGCATCAAACTAGTGGCTACTTCGAACCGCTTTGGTCTGGAGAGGTATTTGTTCATTCTGAATTGCTTCTCAAGTTCCAGAAGTTGTTGTGAGGTGAACGCGGTTCGGGGCCGGCGGGTCTTCCCCAGGAGTGCGTGTGGAGCGCCTGAGTGGAGAGAATTTTGTTAAAACAAACGAACAGTAATTCATATAAATATATACATATATTTTATTATTTATGTAGATAGATAGATGACATATACAGCCCAGTGGCATAAGTGGTGACTTAATCGTGAGTTTAAATCCCGGGCGAAAATCCGAAAAAGGAAAAATCCATTTGTGCAACACCAGATTTTCCTTTTTACATTATTTTTGTTTTATATATAGATTGTACATTTATCCAGGTGTAGGTATTAGTGATAATTGTAAAGATTGGAAAATCAATAGATAAAATAGTCTTTATAAAAACATGCCTAGTCCGGCGGCTGCTTTTCTCACAAACGCAAATAAAGTAATTCTTTCCTTCACTTAAACCACGTAATACGGAATAATCTTTTTGTCATTTTCATTTAATCTTGAAGAATTAAAGCCGACGGTAAAACTTATTAAAAAATTGTTTTCTATCATTTATACAATGATTTTATCTAGGGCAAGAAGGTCCAACTAAGGTAATTGACCGTCGGAAATAACACTATCCGAGTGGCGCTCTTTTGTGGTCTTTGGCCTAAGATTACATCTGCTTGTTTGATATTGTATTAGAAAATTAAATTTTTAGAAGTGCCGCTTTTCTCGCGATGATTTCCTTCACAAACAAGGCATTGAGTTAAATAAAAATAATAAATCTATTGGTGCACAGCCGAGATTTAAATGCACGTTCTCAGGGTTAAGTCCCACATGCCACTGGGCTGTATATGTCATCTATCTATATAAATAAAAAATAATTCGCAGAATATTTTACAAAGCGCAAAACTTGAAGACGGCTGGACCAATTCGAGTAATTTTTATTATTTATGAATTTTTGAAGAGAAAAGCATGAAAAATATAAAAAAAAAGAAATGTAGTTTTATTTAGCACTTAGATTTTTATTCCAGAAACAGACTCTATGGGGTAGCATAGTCTCAATTTCCATATGTTGGTATGTAGCTACTAAACAGGTAGGCTAAATAAAAAAACATCAGCTCGCAGTTTTCAATATGTTTTTATAATAAAGGTATGAAAAATAATAAGCGCCTTTCTTATCTAAATTATAAAAGGTACCGCTATTACGAAAAAACTGACAAGTTAATTAATTCGTTATCGCAAACAAATCACAAATACTCACAAATGATAATTTTTATCAAAACCAATTATTACATGCCTAATTTATCAACGGGTTGATTAATATATTTTCATTCCCGTTGGGGATGTACCTATCGCTATGTTTTTGTTTTGCCATAACGACTATGGTTGGTTGATGGCCAATAATACATTTATCACAATATAGAAACATAGAAACTTTAGATGAACTCTGTGAAGTCGTGATTGTATTTATATTCTTTGACAAAATATATGTTATTACTTATAGCTAGGTAAACCTACTAAACTTCTTCTGCTTAATAAACTAAAAGGTTTGATTGTCTACTTTTGTGTTTCTTAAAATAGTGTCATATTTGGAACATATAACTTTTTTATTTCAATTTTGTTTATTTGTGAATTGCTTCCGCGGCGTGTAACTCGGAAGTTTTTCGATTCCTAGCAAAATAATTGTTTCAAGTTAGACTTGCCTAGGATCAACATGGCGTAAAAATTACTGTTGAATTCTCTATGTTACATTTGAGCGTTTTTAAGCTTCAAATGGTAGCTAACGGAAATGATTATTACTGGTCTCATCGTGGTTACGTATATATGTTGTACCACAAATTAATCGCGTTGCCATAATTAAACACAAAATCACCGATCGTATTTATCAAATACCAAGCGCTAAGCCCATAAAAATGATAATTATCAATTAGGCTAACAGGATCGCTCGAATGCGACATTTGGTCGTGTTTGCACAAGCCGATAAATTCCCGCCTAAATCCTCGACGCATCTGTCATTTGAGAAATGTCATTGTGACGTTTGCCACTTTGCCGGGTAATTTAATAACATGTATTTTGTGTAATTTATTCCTATAAATACTTTTTATAATGTTTTTTTTGTCATTGGTTTCTAGTATTTTCGTGGGTCACACTTACTTGTATGTAATTAAACAAACACATAATGTACCCATATACCATAGCATTACGGGACTCAAAAATAATATAAACACATAAGAAAGTGTTTAAAGAATAAAATCAAATTAATACAGGCCGAAAATAAGCTAAATTAAATATTTATTTTCTACGGTTTGATTATTAATTTAAAAGGTGTGCCAACGGGCATTTTAATAAATGTAACAATTAATAGACAAAAAATAACTGCTCACCCTTTTAAACTGTAGAAAACAGGATTTAATAATAAACCAAATTATTAAATGTTAAAAATTGAATTATTTACGAAACATTCCTAAGTTTGTACACGACCATATAAGAATAAAAACAAGAATAACTCGCCCACAGATTCAATATTATTAAAATTAAATCGACATTAAAGATGGCGCGCATTGGTAAGCTAACAGAAAATCGTGCTTAAGTGGAATTTTAAAACGAATGTGTACAGAACGTGACTTGTACAAATTATTTGTTGGGCATATCGGCTATTGATCCGACGGTCATAATATGTTTTTATTGAAATATACGCGATGTAGGCCTAGAATAACAAACGATTTTAATGGTTTTCGTAGCAAGGGGTACTATGGATAAAATGTCTCGGATGACAAACCACTTTCCCCAAGCCTTTCATTGCGAGCATTAGTACAATGTATAGAAAGATTCAGTGGCGCTACAACCTCTTTAGGTCTTGGCCTCAGATTTTTGATTCTGTTTCATGATCATTTTTAAATCTAATACGCAAGTAGGTGATCAGCCTCCAGTGCCTGACACACGCCGTCGACTTTTTGGGTCTAAGATATGTCGGTGTCCTCACGATGTATTCCTTCACCGTTCGAGCGAATGTTAAATTCGCACATAGAAAGACAGTCATTGGTGCACAGCCGGGGCTCGAACCTACGACCTCAGGTATGAGAGTCGCACGCTGAAGCCACTAGGCCAACACTGCTCTTAAAAATATCAACGTCTTTAAATGTCATTAAAAAGTATTATAAAACAATATTGTTTTTGTATTGATATCTACAGTAATTAACAATAATAATGCTTATAATTTCGTAATCTGTCTTGATAAACAGGAAGCTCAAGAGTTAAACAAATTCGTGTATATACTATGACTATGCTTGACTATGCAAACAAAAAATATGCGGATTGATAATCCCTTTCCTCGGTCTTATGAACAGCACACATGCTTGCGAGACTGAAATTAAGAACTAGGCCAACACAGCTATGTTGCAAAACTGTGATAGCCCTTTTTTGACATTACGTTTCAGTAAAAAGCCTCAATTTACGATCAACATTATTATTATATTAATGTTACTTGCACAGAAACAGAATTACTTTTAAAACTCGAAATTGTTCTGAACTAAGCCGTGTACAATATTCAGTTATCTTAATTCAGTTCTGAGTACATAATATTTGATTTTGTAAGGAGTTAATTCCATACAATACATAGACTAACAATATAGAGTCGTAAGGCGAGCAGAGACAATCGAATAAGGTTGATTGCAGACTTACGCTCTGCCGAGCGTGATAACTCTATTGTCTTGTTTAATGTATTATATTTGACACATAATATCTTGTAGGAGTTATATTATGGGCTCAGTACTTATATAGGACTATGTGTAGGAAAATTTAATATTTATTGTAATTTAATTATTCATTCATTGGCAGTGACATATATTCTTCAGAATAATATTAATCCTCTAATAGAAAATATAGTTATCGAGTTTCAAACATTTTGTTTGTTTGTTTTATATTTATGTATGTTTTAATATTTCCACATCTATACTGTATGTACTCGTTATAATACATAATATTCTCAACCTATAATGATGGCAACATTGCCTCGCTGTATTGCGATACTTATTCGTTGAGCGAGGAAAGCACCAGCTCTGGGGTCACCGGTATTATCTCACCAGGCCCCAAATTAATTCTTCATTCTTTTTTCATCTCTTCTTCTTAATAAGATGTAAATAGGCATTGCTTTAGAAGTTAGTGCCAAAAATTACTTAGTCACTTTAATTAATAAATATAATTAAATAGGTATTATAGGTACTGCCGGCGTTTGTGGCAATTAAATTAACATTTTATCATTATCAATTAATTGATATTTACGAAAAAGTAGATATTTAAAGCCAATGAATATGTTTTTAGTCAATTCATATTAAATGATCCTTCTATTTCATATTATTTTAAGGGATTTAAAATAATTGCATTCATTTAATAATGATATTTCTACTATTATTATTCTATTAATAAAATAAATAAATCGGTGGCGCTACAACATTTTTAGGTCTGGGCCTCAGATTTCTGTATTCGTTTCACGATAGTTTGTCAATCTGTGCCTGACACTCCGTCGACTTTTCGTGTCTAAGGCAAGCCGGTTTCCGCACGATGTTTTCTTTCACCGTTCGGGCGAACGGTTAATGCGATGGAAAGAAAGTCCATTGGTGCACAGCCGGGGATGGAATCTACGACCTCAGGGATGAGAGCCGCACGCTAAGGCCACTTGGTAACACTGCTCGCTATTTACTACAACTCCACAAAATATGATTTTGCCATAACGTAAAGGATTGATAGGTTTTAATAATAGACTAAATGATGATATTTTATTCGATAGTTCGCGGTATTACGGGGAGTTATGTCGAAAATCAAAGACAATTTTATTTTTAGATCATTGTTCCAGATTAAATAATTGTAATATTTATTAGACACATATTCAAATATGCTGCCTAGAACTTAAATCTTCACAATCAGAATTAGAATCAGACCGTGACTATCAGTTTTTGCCGCGCACCACCACTATGTGGAACCAGCTCCCCACTCAAGTATTTCCGAACAATTTCGACTTAGGGTCCTTCAAGAAAAGAGCGTACCAATTCTTAAAGGACCGGCAACGTATTTGCGAGCCTTCTAGCAATGTGTTCTTCCTATTTCATT